AAACATGTGTGATTTTTATTTTTCAGTTAAAAATAACAAAAAAGAGGATGGATGCAACATTAGAAAACAAATGCAGCTCTTGTAGAGCATCCAGTAACTGTCAGTGCCCTATGTAGCGATCAGCGGGGTGGACTGAGTCAAGCTCAAGGTGACTTTCAACTCCCCAAATGGAGCTAGGTCCAAGGAAGGCTGCAGTGTGAATTAAAGTAGAAGTCAGCGCTTAGGGTCAGTGAGGGCAATCCTCATGAAGCTACACACGTCCTTTCACTCTTCTGCCCAGCCAAGCCATTGGGATTGAATTTCGAGTTTTTAATCTGATCAGTATTTAGTGTTTTTCTGAATTCTTTTGGATAGTTTTTAATCTTCATATTTGGGTTTTATTGCTACTGAGTTGCTCGTGTTCCTTAATTATTTTGGATATTAATCCCTTATCATAGGATGAATAGCTCAGAGATATTGTATCCTGTTGTACAGGTTGTTTCTTCACTGATTTGGCTGGATTGTTTCCTTTGTTGTTACAGAGAAGTTAGTTTGTTATCATTCCATTTTTTCTACCTTCATGGTCTTATAAAAAATAATCTTGCTTGCAACAGTACCCTGTTTTTCTCGGAGTTGAGTCTTAGCTCCCAGCCTTCCATTGTCTTCAATCCATTTAAACTGCTTTTTCTATATGGTGATACCTAAGGGTCCAGTTTCACTTTTATTGATAGAGATTTCCAGTTTTTCCATCAGCATTTATTAAAGAGATTGTTTTTCCATTATACGTTCATGGTCTCTTTGTAAAAAAATCATTTGACTGTAAATATATAGATTGATGTCTGAGTTCTCTCTTGTCTTCCATTGGTCTATATGTTTGTTTTGATTCCAGTATTATGCTCTCTTGGTTAGTATAATTTGGTGGTATGTATATTTGTATTTGTAGCACATACATGCATGTACACACACACATGCGCACACACACACATGCGCACACACATTTTTCAGTTCTGGGAGTGTTGAATTCAAGGCTTCCTAGGCAAATGCTCTATCATTGAGCCTCACCCCTCCTCCCAGTCCTTTTGCTTTTTAGTTTGTTCTTCAGACAAGCTCTTGTACTTTTTCCTGACCTGCCCTCAGACCATGCTCCTCCTTCCGCCACCTCCTGAGTAGCTGGAAGTATAGGCCTGCACCACCATTTTCATAGTGGGTATTGTGATGCCTTCAGCTTTCTTGTCCTTGTTGTCCAGGACTGGTTTGTCTATTAGAGGTCTTTTGTGGTTAAGGTAGGGTTGTTTTTTCTCCTTCTGTGGAGAATGTCATTGGCATTTTGATAGATCTTGTGTTGAATCTGTAGCTTGTGCTGGGTAGCCTTAAAAAAAAGTAATTAATTCTCCCAGTTTGTGATCATGAGGTCTTTCCAGTTTTTAGTGTCCTCTTCTATTTTTTTTTATCAGTATAGTTTTATTGTAGAAATCAATTGCTTCCTTGTTTAAAGTTATTTCTATTCTTTTGTAGCCTTTGTAAATAGGATTGCATTTTTATCTAGCTTATTACTGACATATAGAAATGTTATATCTAACTCATCACTGATGTATAGAAATATTACAGATTTCTGTATGCTGCTTTTATGTCCTGCAGCTTTACTGAACTTAATATTTATTGATATTTACCTATTGGATACCAAGTAGTGATGGAAGATATTTCCAGTTGAGAAAATAGATGAGAACTACAGAAGTCAAAGAAGGAATGTTATATCCAAGCCAGGAAGAAATGAAGTCTAAGTGACGGTGTGGCATCCCAAGGGGGAAATGGGAAACCTGACATTCCTCAGACTCACTGGATGGGAGGCTCAGGGAAGAACCTAAATCATGTAGGCTGAGCGGTGTAGCTGCATCTGGGATGCGGTAACCAGGTTTGGATGGGCTAAACGCGTGGAAGAGACCCATAGCTGTCCTTTTCATGCCCGTGTCTAGAGTGAAATGATGCCTCCAGGCTTCACAGTGGTGCTGCTTATTCTGATAAAAACTCTAAGCATCTTAACCAGCCCAGGGAACTCTCCGGCATGGGTCTTAGTTTCACAACCTGTAATTGAAAGGCCTGGCTGTTCACCGACAATGCTGTGGCTTTCTCTTTCCCCCTGGGGAAGTGAGTGACCCAGGGGGACCCTAGTTTTCTTCTGAGATTTTACTGCTTCTAGAGAAAGCTAAGAAGAGGAGCCTTGGGCTGCGGATTGCTTTGGGAACCTTTCAGGACAATTCTCCATCTGGGGCCCCTTTCCTACACCCATCTGCGTGACTCCCAAGGCCTTTGCTCAGCTGGAGCCTGGTCATGCTCCCAGCAGGGGCCACTTTTTGTCCCTAGTAAATATTAAAACGGAATTAACTATGGGTAAAGTGTTACCTACAAGTAGAACTGGCCACGAACATGCCAAGTTTTAAAAGTCTACCTAGTAGCGCCCTCTTGGGGAAGATGTTCCCAGACCCCCTGTGGAGCCTCAGCGATGGATAGTATGGAACAGTATACCACCCTGTAGTGCTTTGTGGTCATCTCCAGCTTGCCAGCGCAGCACTCTCAGGCATTGTGGCCGCTCTGAAGGGAAAGAACGGCTCCATGAGCACCAGCACCGAGCCCTGCCACAGGGGACCTGATAGCTGGGACAGGGCTACGTGCTCAGTGGGAAGGCAGTGCACACAGGGTGGAAATGCCGGACACAGAGACACTCATTCCCACGCCAGAAAGAGCCTCATAGAATGACAGACAATTTAAAACCCAAGAATTGTTTACTTCTGGAATTTTCCATTTAGTGGTTTCTGGCCATGATTTTTTTTTTTTTTTTTTTTGAGGGGGTGTGTGGTCAGTCATGGGGTTTGAATTCAGGACCTGGACTCTGTCCCTAAGCTCTTTTTGCTCACAGCTAGCACTCTACCACTTTGAGGCGCAGCGCCATTTCTGGTGGTAAAATGGAAATAGGAGTCTCACAGATTTTCCTTCCCCGGGCTGGCTTTGAACCACCATCCTCAGATCTCAGCCTCCTGAGAAGCTCGGATAATAGATGTAAGCCACCAGTGCCCGGCTCTGGTCATGATTTTTTATAAGAAACTGAAACTCCAGAAAGTGAGACTTTAGATAAGTGGCAGATTGTAGAAGGGAAGCACATTGTGCTGAGGGGGAGGGCCTGGCTCATCTGTGGTGGTTTGTCTGGGCTTGTGGGCAGGGTAGACTAGCAGCTCAAAGAGCCTCCCATGGCCCTTGTGTGTGGTGCCCTCAGAGTGTGGTACTTGTTGGTACTATCACTGTAAAAAAGAAATACTTCATTCAAGGAACCCCAGAGATTTCTGACCTTTGGGAGGGGGCAGGAGGGGGTTTAGGCTGCTACGGTGGCTGTTAGCCCCTGGTGGCTGTTAACATTCAGCCTTGCTGCTCTGCTTTTTCTTGTCTTTCCTTCATCCTAGGGAAGGCAATGAAGTAAAAATTAATAGCAAATCCTCTGGTCAGAAATATGGGATACTCCATTTTCATAGATACTCAGTAAATATATTTACCAACAACAAACAATTCGCTTCTAAACAGAGACAATGATATAGCAAGGTTCAACTCAGGTAAGACAGATACTTATATTGTTTTGGAGTTTTGCTTTGTTTAAAAATATACATTGTTTCAGGTTAAAAGGAATAGGAATCGATTACAGAAATGTTTGAAAAATGAAAAAGTATTCTAGACACTGAGACAACTGTGCTTATAACTTTTTTTCTTCTACTCTTTTTTGATGTGAATATTTATTTGTAGTTATAATAATCATTGTATGTATGTATTTTTCTTTTTTAATTTAGTCTTGGGTCATTAAGATATAGTCATATACATGTTCCAGGTAATGTTTTTTATTGCACTGAATCACATTTTTGCTCTTTATATTTTTCAATTATGAACCTATTTTTGGTAAGTATATTTTCCATTATACTTGATTAAAAAGAATTTTTCTGTGTAATGGGTAGCTTCATATACATCATTTTTGATTATGGTTGTTACTATGAATTTTTAAAGTAGAATAGAAACAAATATTGATAATGTCCACAAAGTAAATCTTCATGTAGCTTTATCATTAGATTCAGTAAATCTAGTGATCATAGGAAATTGGAGGCCTAGTTACGCATGACCTGGTAAAGTCATGTAAAACTGGACTGAGGCAGTAATCTTACTTATAGAAATGGCCACAGGATAGCAAGTTATTCTACAGGTTATGAACTTATGGTAGAAAATGGAGGTCCTGTATTTGGAGACTGAAATGCAATAGACATTTCCAGTGTGTCTATATGTGTGTGTGTGTGTGTGTGTGTGTGTGTGTGTGTGTGTGTGTGTGTGTGTGTGTGTGTATGGGCATTCATGGGAGATAGATCTTGATGCTCATTGAATAGTGAAAGGGATCCAGTTATACTCAACATGGTGTGTGCTAAGTTGGTTGTTTTCTGTTATTCCCTGCCTCCCCTTCCTCCTTCCTTACACCCATTTCATTGATTCATTCAATACTAGGATTCAGGAGAACATACTTTAAGGTGATAGTGATTTAGCTCATTCAGATTCATAGGGACACAAATAAAAATTTGAAGCTGAATCTGTATGGGAAATGTCCACTGGGAATACAACATCAATCTATAATTTTGAAGTCTCTCCATTCATCTTAGAAAAGCTTAGAAAGCTTATCATCAAATGCATTTCTTTTCACTGAAGTTATGAATTGAGTGTGAAAATATCCATGAAATAGTTATCCTTTCATTGTGTTACTGGGAAAGCTGGGATTTGTTAGTTCCACTAAATCCCGGGGGGTATCAATGTTTGCGTACAATGAAAACGAAGTTTTCACATTTCAATGAAAACAAAGTTTCACATTTCTCAAACTCTCCTTTGCCAGAAAATAGCAGTCATTTGTGATTTCTGGATGATAGGAACACCTCTGAATCTAGCTAATGGGCACTGTAAGTATAGTGTCTACTTTGTCTTGGATAACTGGCTTTTCTTTTTTGCAGGAATGGGCTGCTTCTGGGGAGCTGAAAGGAAATTCTGGACCTTGAAAGGCGTGTATTCAACCCAAGTGGGCTTTGCAGGAGGCTACACCACCAATCCTACTTACAAAGAAGTCTGCTCAGGTAGGAGAGATCTCCATCCTACCATTGTGGGACGCAAGGCACAGAGGTGCTGCTGTTGGGCAACAGGATCCTGAAAACGGAAATACGTTTGTTAAGCATATTCCTCTGTCTTCTCTTGGCTGTTTCTGAAAATGTTTGCCCCTTGTTTGCCTCTGACTTTATTGATTGATTGATTGTGCCAGTTCTGGAACTTGAACTCAGGACCCAGGCACTATCCTTTAGCTTTTTCACTCAAGACGAAGCATTCTTGAGCTCACAAATTCTCACAGCTCAAGAATGTGGCTTAAGTCCACTTCTGACTTTTTCATGGTTATATAGAAATGAGAGTCCCATGGCCTTTCCTGCCTGAGCTGGCTTTGAACTGTGATCCTTGGATGTCAGCCTCCAGAGTCTGTGAAGACTTGCGTTGTTGTCAATATCCTTCCCTTAGTCTGCCACCTTCCACAACATGGGCTGGTCATCTGTGACTGTCTTTCTCTTTCTTTCTTTCTTTCTTTCTTTCTTTCTTTCTTTCTTTCTTTCTTTCTTTCTTTCTTTCTTTCTTTCTTTCTTTCTTTCTTTCTTTCTTTTCTTTCTTTCTTTTCTTTCTTTCTTGGTCCAGTCATGAAGCCTGAACTCTGGGCCTGGGCGCTGTCCCTCAGACCACATGAGCCACATCACCATTACTGGCTTTTTTCTTTTTGCTTATGTGCTGCTGAGGAATCGAACCCAGGGCCTCATGCGTGCAAGGCAAGCGCTCTACCACTGAGCCACCTTCCCAGCCCCCAGAGCTCATTTCTTAACAGAATATTTTGTTACCATCTTAAGAGGTCTTAAAGAGGAATTAGGGAGGTCTACGGAGACCTTCACTCTGCTACATTGACACAAATGATCTTTAAAAGTACGTAAACAGTTAATGAAGGTTTGAAGGCTGGGCATGGTGGTGTGACTACCTATATTTCCTGTACTTGAAAGCTGAGGTAGGATTGTGAGTTTGAAGCTATCCTGAGCTACATACACAGTGAGTTCTAACCCAGATAGAAGAGCCTATCACAGAACGAACAAACAAAAACCAGAACAAAACAAGAATTGTAAGAAGGCACTGGGGGAGTAATTGGGGAGATCCTTTCGGCTGGCTCAGAGGACACTGGGAATGCTGGGGTGGGGGAGGGGCAGCTGAATAATGAGCATTTGCTATCAAGTGAATTCTGATTTTGAAATACAACATCACTGTGGAGCAATGAAAGTACTATTAAAAAAATAGGTGCATTCTCGTTTTTCTTGCCTCCAGAGAAGAAGTGAAATACTCTGATATTGAAAATGAGAACCATCGATAAATAGTGATTAATCTGTAATTTTTGCTCTGTTTCATAATTAAACAAATGCTGTGTGGAGCTATAAATAGATTGAGATGAACCCCAGAGATTGCCCAGGTGTGTGCTCTCAAGTCTTAGGAATAGAAATGAATAGATTTTCTATCTGTAATTCTAGACTTGCCTTAATGGACTAAGAGAAAAGGTTTCTAAGAAAACCTCCAGCCTAGGAAAAATTATGTTAAGTGAAGTAAGTCAGGCTCGCAGTGACAAAGGATTCATGTTTTTTTTTCCCTCTCATATGTGGATATTATATCTAAATTTTAAAAATGTATGTAAACATATATAGGACCATATACATATATATGTGTGTACATATACACACACAAACATTTTAACTAAAGTATGGTGTATGAAGAGGAGGAGTTGAGTGGTGTAATCCCTTTGAACAATCAACTTACAGTTTAACAAAACAAATACCAGGAGAGGGGTGAGGTCAGGGGAGGGGCAGGCGCATGGAGAGAGGAAGGAGGGGAATGCAGTCATAATAGTCAGTGTAGATATGTGAAATGACACCAGATAAATTGAGGGGACGGGTGGGGTTGGGAGAAATGAGGAAGAAATACAAAATTGCTGACATTGATCAAGATGCGTTGTATTCACAAACTCATGTTGAATTGAAACACTTTTGTGCAAGTAATTCAAGATAATAATAATAATAATAATAAGCCTCCAGCTACGAAATGATCATGACTAAATGTGTTTGCTCAGAATCCTTCCCGTTCATCCTTGCCCTTGAAGGCGTGTCTTTCCTTCTCCCCTACTGTCTCACGAGGCAGTTCACGTTCTCTTTTATAGGTGCGCCCAGGTTCCTGGAGTGCCAATCACTAACCCTGGGGTTCTAGTGTTGTTAGGAACAAGAGTCTCAGCCTCTGACACATTCAGCACAGAGCTGTGTCCCTCCATCCCTGCCTGTACCGCCCAGCTCTCTCCTCATCCATTCCCACTTCCTTGGTGTGCTTTTAGAGGATCACTCTAAGGGAAGAGCGAAGGAATTTGTTTCATCATTCTAATGTTTAGAGGGAAAGAGAACCAAACCATTTAAGATGCAGTTTGTGCAGAGATTTACAGCAACGAGTGAATACGGAAACCACGGGCTGTTAAGGAACTCTCCATTTAATCCCAGCACTCCTGCTATCTTGGTGGTTCTCAGGAAAGCATGGTTGTCATGGAAACTGGTTCCTGATTGGAAAGAGATAGTCACTGCGTCTAATCTGGACTTGGAAAAAGGAGTGATTTCTTTACCCAGGCTTTTGTTGCTGCTGCTGTTCTGATCATAAGAGGGGAAAACAAAGAGGCAGAGGTGCTGTGGTAAGAAGGTTCTCCATCACACCCGTGGTGGAGCCTCAGATCCTTGGGAAGAGCAGGGAGGGAGCAAACAGGTCCCCCAGCAGGCGTCGTCATGGTAACTGGCCACGTTGGTGGACCTCCCCTCCAAAGATTGTCCCCATTCCCCCTCTCCCCCCTCCCCATTGTCACAGAAGGGTCTGACTGGAGAGAAAACCAAAACAAATCACCAAGCTCTACCAAAAGGAATAGTAAGTGTTTTGGTGTAATAGCAGTATTCGTCTGTACTTTACTATTGCACTGATTTTTACAATTTCTACATTTGATCTTAACCAACAGGTCAAGGAGCAGTCAGTTTCAAAATTTCTTAATTGTTTGCAGCTAAGCCTAGTAAACTGTGATGGCAGGCTGTGAGTTTTTGTTTGTTTTGTCAGTCTTGGGGCTTATACTCAGGGCCTGGCCGCTGTTCCTGAACTCATTTTGCTCAAGGCTAGCTCTCTACCACCTTGAGCCACAGTATCACTTCTGGTTTTCTAGTAGTTAATTGGAAATAAGAGTCTCACAGAATTTTCCTGTCCAGGCTGGCTTTGAACTGCAATCCTCAGATCTCAGCCTCTGGGTATCTAGGATTACAGGTGTGGCCTACTGGCGCCTGGCTGAGTATTTTGCAAAGGTGTTTAAGAAGATACATGAGGGCCTACATGGTGTTCAGTCCCCCTTCCCTCCTGCGGCAGTGCACTTGAGCTTCAGGTATGGTAGCTTCCGGGAGCAGAGATCATCCAGTTCCTGAGCCCTCTAGGCTCGCTCACTGCCAACCCCCTCAGCAGCACTTCCACCAGCCCGAGGGTCCCCACACACACATACGCGCCACAAGCCAAGGAGCCATCAGCTGCCCTTTGTCATGTTACCCTGCTAGTGGGGACACATAGCCTTGGCAGGGGACACATGGGCGACAATGTGTGTGACTCTGTGTGTGTGTGTGTGTGTGTGTGTGTGTGTGTGTAAGCAGGGTATATCCAGAGAAGCTGTATTTTCATGCCTCATGGTGCTTGGGTAGAGGTTGATGGCCATACCAGAGCTGTGTGATCAGACACATAAAAAAGATAGACAGCTATGGGAGGAGGTGACCCCGGCACCAATGCATGGATCAAGCTGTCCACGGCATCAGAGCAGGACACTTGGGAAAGGACTCCCTGATGAGTCTATGGCCAGCTGGGCCATGCCCAGCGCCCATGTGCGGCTTGAACCTGGTGACATACAAGGTAAGCATTTGGAATAATGTGGCCCGTTGGGAAAGCGTGCGAGGAAGATGCCCGTGCCAGGGACACATAGGTACTGGAAAAGGAGTGAGCTCAGATCTGTAGGCGCAGGAGCACCTGGTGGCGAGCCCCAACACAAGAGGACAGATGAGCAGTCACCTCAAAGGGAGCTGCTCACGAGTAGGGAGGGTAGGCACCCCCTGTGGTGCTCTGGGTGGACGCACTGCACCCCCTACCATGCAGCATAAAATAATAGCGCAACCTGTTCTGACGCATGCTCTGTAGCGCCTTCTCCTGTCCTCCTGTGGAGAGTGTGTACTAGGAGAGACTACACTGAGGCTTGTCTTTTGGGCAGGCAGTCTTAATTCTCATTTCAAATCCAATAAAATGCTACTCTGAGATGTATATCTCAGTGTATTGTGAATGTAGGCTGCCTGGGTCATTCTCTCTAAATTGGATTAACCTGGGATAGAATTAAATGACGGAAATGGAGTTTGGGCCTTCAGACCTGACAGCCAGAAGCCAGACCTCTGTGATTTCCAAAGGTGGTGATTGTCTCTGTGCGTTCCCCAGAGATTCCTGTCCCTCACATTCCCCATTCCTAGGCATAATTTCATTTAAACCCAATTATTTATTTATCTCCTTAATTGCACATCTGTGTTAAAAGTGACGCTCTTCAGCCGTGTTCTGGTAGCTCATACCTGTAATCATAGCTACTCAGGAGTTTGAGGTCTGAGGATGGCGATCTGAAGTCAGCCTTGGCAAGGAAGTCCACGAGACTCTTATCTCCAATTAGCTAACAAAAAGCCAGAAGTAGAGCTCAAGTGGTAAAACACTAACCTGGAGCACAACAGCCCAGAGACAGAACTTAGGCTCTGAGTTTAAGCCCCAGGATTGGCACGCGTGCGCGCGCACGCACACAGACACACACAGGAAAAAGAAAAGAGAAGACCATGTTCAGCTATGTGGTGTAGCTCATGCCTGTAATCCTAGCTCCTCGGAAGTCTGAGATCTGAAGATGAAAGTTCAAAGCCAGACCAGGCAGCCAGGCAGATAAATCTGAGACTCTTAACCTCCAATTAGAAATAAGCTGGAAGTGTGG